GGCCCGCCTTTCCCTCGAGGAGAGGCCCCGGCCCTGGGGCAGCCTGTGCTTTCCTCCTCCCCACACGCTCTGCTCAGGGAGGGCATCCTCCCCTCCCCAGCCCCCCAAGCTCCGGCCCTCTGCTGTGTCCTGTAGCCCCCTGCAAGGCTGTGTGCAGCGTTTCCCTTAGGGAAAGCCCCTCCTCACCCCCAACCCTAGCTCTAAGGTGGCCCCGCAGCCTCCTGCAAGGTGGAGAACAGCATTTCCCTCAGGGAAAGCCCCCCCCTCGCCTCCAACCCCAGCCCCAGGGTGGCCCCGCAGCCTCCCATAAGGCTGGGAGCAGCATTTCTCTCAGGGAGAGCCCACTCGCCCCTAACCCCACCTTAGTCCTGGCGCACCTTTTCCCTCCTTCCTGCCTTCTTTTTGCACCTCAGCCCCAGGGCAGCCCCTCAGCCTCTTCTAGGGTGGGGAAAACACTTCTACCCCTTTTTTTGTTGCAGCTTTTTATAAGAAGAGCTCCTTGTCTCCCCAACCATCCAAGCCTGCCTGTGAGGCCTCAGCAGCTTCGGAAGGCAGGGGCATGCCTTGTGTTTGAAATGAGAATTAGGATACTTCAGGTTTCTCCTCCGATAAGGTATGGTTGATATAGGGCCAATACCTCAGCTGCGGTACTGGTTAGGGTCTGGTGTGTAACGTCAAATCTTATTTCACTTTTCCTTTCTAGGTTTTGTTTAGGAGGCTCATTGTCCTCATGCCCTTGAGTTTTGCTCTAGGTGGAAACGAGCCCACCTGTAAGGTCAGCGGTGGGCATGGACCAGTACCCCTTTGATGATGAGAATGTGGTTCATTTGGAGATGCATCTCCCTGGAATTCCTGAAAGTCAGGGGCTGGTCTGTAGCAAGGCCCTCAACCACGATTTGTGCCTAAATGTGAAAGATGTGATGTACACGGGGCTGAGTGGCTTAGACGTGGTGCCTGACCTTCTGGCCAGCGATGCGCTGGAGGCCGATTTAAACGCACTCTCCCTGTACCCGGTGAAGGACTGTGACCCTCCTCAGCTCCTCCATGAGCCTGACTTGCAGCCCTCACAGCACGGTGAGCACGCTGGACTCTGCTTTCTCTATTATTTTGAAGGGTGTCTTACAGATTGAAGCGGCTGGAGTTATTTCGTAGCTTTATACAAGTGATGGAGTCCATTACGTGGAAAGATCTTTGGGGTAAAGAGGTGGATGCGTGGGGGTTTTTTTTAATCGCTTTTAGGTTCTTGTAGTTTGAGCGCTTCAGAAATGTTTCTTGTTGCCTTTTACCTGTAAAATGACATTCAGATTGATAATGCTCTAGAAAATGGTAATAATTATAACACCTCTCTTTCATAGGAATTTCACTTCTTTCCTATTTTCTTAAAATTATACCCTAGACAGGAATATGTTCAGGGTTTTTTCTTTTTCCAAGAGTCCTTGCAACCTGCCCTCCAGCTGGAAATGGGAAAAATGAAGACATTAAAATGATAGATTTGCTAAATATGTTGCAAACATCTATATTACTGGCTTTCCCTGAAGCGGAGAAGAGACATTCTCTTTAATTCTTTTTGCATTTCAAATTCTCTGTGAAATGGATTAAGCAGAATGGGCTTTTTCCAGATCTGCTGTTGAAAGGAGAACGCCTTTAGTAAAACGCTCTTCTGGAGGATAACTTAATTGCTAACGTATATAAAAGCGTGCCCTGTTTGGGTGGCTTGAAAACAAAGCAAATGAAAATCCGTAACGAGAAGCGCTCGAATAAGAGAATGAGACTTTCTCCTAACAATCTACTGATTTGCCAATTAATGGCGGCTCGTCGGCGGGGAACGTCGAGTCTTCTCCCAAAGTCCAATCCAGCAGGGACCACTTGGGTTATCACCCGGTCAAATTGCTGTAGATAAAATACCTTGAACAAAGCGGTTTGGAATTTTCTATTTTTCCCGAGAAAGAGGGGAAAATGGTGAAAATACATTATGGCAGGGGTCAAAATGCCAAAGGGTGTAACCTGTGTGAGGGTAGAATGTGGGTTTAGGTGTTTGTGGAGACCCCAGAAATAAAGTAGCTCCAGAGCTGCAAGTTGTTAAGAGGCGGAGCAGGTTTGTGGGACCTTTGTACTCATTTTTGTGCGGGTATTCGCTTGTCAAAACCCACAGGCCAGAGCCCTCCAACAGAAGCATTACAAAAAGAGACATTTTTTTTAGTACTAAAACGAGAAGCGTCTCATCGCAAGAGTAACCCAAGGATACCGCTTTCTCCCTCCCTTCAGAGCCGGGACTTCCCATGCTGATGGGACCAGAGGAGGCTGGAGGAGGAGAAGGAGGCAGCAGATCCTTGCGGGGAGAAAAGCGTCCCATCGGCTCTCCTCAGACCTCGCCGCTGGGCTGCAGCCACTGCGGGAAGGTGTTTGGCAGTGCCAGCGCTCTCAGCAAACACTGCCTGACTCACAGCCAGAAACGGGAATACATCTGTCTCCTCTGCAGCAAGGCCTTCAAACGGTCGGACCACCTGTACGTAGGCGTTCGCTGGCAAAAACGTGGTGGCTTGCTGCAGCCTTCTTTACCAAACCTGAAAAGATTGGCTTCTGCGGTGCTTTATTTCCCACTTTCAGAAGTTACGGCGCTTGTTAGCCTTTGTCATGTTTTCAGACGAGCAAGCGCTGTGAAGTTAGGTCACAAAACGACTTCCCCAGCAGATGCAAATCAGTTTTGAGTTTTCCAGAGCGGGCTGGTGCAGAAAAAGCCTCAAAAACATGTATTTCTGTCCAGCTGCAGAAAAATCTGTAATACCGAGCGCTGCGATAGCAGCTAGTCTTTTTCCTTCCCTGTCTGACGCCTGGTGTGGGGGAAATAGTGTGGAAAGTGTTCGTACTGGAGAGTCATCTTTTGATTTTTTGATAGCCACTGGTTTAGGCGCTGTCGCAAAAGATCGCTTATCGATGTGACCGGTGCCTGGAATCCTACGCTTCCTGCTACTGTAAAGCTTTTCTTACTAATTCTGAAAAGCTCTGGAAACACCAGCCGATGACTGGAGGGGTTCGGTTTTTGATGGTGGTAGTCCGGGGCTAAGTAAAACACCGTTTTGTTGCCAACAAACCTATTCTGTCCTAAAATGTGCCTTTACGAAGTGAGAGTCTGCAGTTTTACAGTCGGTTTCCCGTTGGTTTAGGTCAGGTGCCTGCCTAATTTTTTTTGTCTCTCCCAGTTTCTCCTCTGCCATTCTCTGAAACAAAAGAGAATTGTAACGAGCCGTTAGCTTGTGCTGGCTGGCATCAATGTGTGCGCTTGCAGCTGGAACTGGGGTTGGGATCCCTTTTGAGTTGTGTTCCCGTTTGCTTCATCCTTGCTGGGGGGCTGATAGGCTGGAGAGGTCTGTTTGGATTTGGGGGAGAATTTCAGATCCCATTTGAGTGGTCTTTCTGGTGGTCAGCGTCTCGCTGACCATGGCCATAGAGCAAGTGGGATTGTTCTGCACCCCGGTGGGAAAAGCAGTTGGGGGGCACTTGAGTGAACCTCTTCTGAACAGAGGCCAAGCTCTGCTTTGATTTATGTACTGTGCCGCATCTCTGCCTCGAGTAGAACGATGCTAAATAAAAGGACTGCCAGAGCTGCGGTAGCTTAGGTGTAAAATGGCTTCCTTTTTCAGTTGGAAATGCTAATACACTATGTTTTCTTCCCTTGATCGCCAACAGGAGCGGACACATGTTGACACATCAGAAAATAAAACCTTTTGTGTGCCCGGAACAAGAGTGTGATAAGAGTTACTGCAATCGCCATTCACTGCTCCGGCACTACAAACTGAAGCATGGCTTGTGCGGCTCGGAGGAGACTCCAAAGGAAGGCACCGGGGAGGAATCCCTGCTTCTTCCCAGTCTGTACAGCCAAGGCAGCGGGAAATCGGAGGACAGACTGACTGCACGCTCTGACTCAGGCCCTTTCCCTCCCGAAAGAGACCTGCTGAGGTGCGTCGTGAGCAGCTTTGCAAATCGGAAGCTTCCCTTGGCTGCCTTGCCCTCTGCAGAGCACGCAGCTGCTGCCCTGACAGATTCCTCCCCAGCAAGCCAGGCCTCTTGCCTCACACCTAACAGCAGCGAACTTCAGGAGGCTGCGACTGACGGTTTAGTGAAGGATTGCCTCTTGTGCCAAGGGAGTGTCGCTTCTCCCGACGTCTGTGCCGTAACAAATCCCAGCAACGTGTCTGCGATTGCGCTGGGTGAGATGGTAGTTACCAATCTGGCTGGTAGGTCTTTGATTTCAGAAGCCCAGCTCCCCTCGGAGCCCACAGGGCTGCAGCGTTGTCCGAACAGTGCCCTGCCTTGTTTTCCTGCGTTCGAAGGGCAGAGACCATCCGCAAACCAGTCGAGCGGTAACTTCCAGTGGATCAGAAACGTGCCGGTTTGTGCTAAACCCAAAAGGAATAGCGTCTGCCTTGCTCACAAACCACCTGTCATGGCACCCGATGTTTCAGAGGGGTTAGCTGGACCTTCCCGCACGTTCTCAGCCATGTATGAGGGTCCGGATGCTTTGTCTTTCCCCGTTGTGCCTTTTAAAGCCGAAGAGGATGTGCCGAGCGAGTCAGCCCTTGGTTGTTTTGAGGAAACCTTTCCGTTGGTGAAACCCCACTGCTCCCACCCATGGGAGAATGCCGGGGAGCTGAGTGTTCCGGAGGTTCAGAATCTCAGCGTGCTGCGGAGCGAGACCAGGCAGCTCTTCCCGAAACCCCTGGAGCCTGCTGCGTGCCCGGAGCCGCTGCATCTCTTCCAGACCATCACCAAAGCTCAGCAGGTTTTCTCTCACGCCCAGGCACTGGCTCCGTCCCTGCCGATGGCTTCGGAGGCCAAGCACCTGACAGCAAACCCCCTCCAAACGGGGTTTTGGCAGCCCCCTCCCTTGGTTCCCCAGCTGATGGAGTACGGAGGGCCTTCTACGTACCCCCCAAAGCCTGTCCCCCAGCTGGTGGGGTGCGGAGGGCCTTCTACGTACCCCCAAAAGCCTGTCCCCCAGTTCCACGGTAGTCTGTCAGCCGGTGAGAAATGGGATCCGCACGCAGCACCCTTGAAAGAACATGTGGGATTGAGAGACTCCTCTGTTCCTGATCAGCTCTGGGATGCAGCGCCTGGAAGTACTGTGGGAAGCTGCTCTCCTGGGAGATCAAATCAGCTGGAAAACAAGGCTTTTGCTTTTAAAAAAGAGAAGAGTGAAGATCATAGCGTGGAGATGGGCGGGAAACCACCGGCTGGTGCCGGCTGCTCTTGGCGTCTGCCTGCTGTCCGCAGGGAGAGGCCGGCGTTTGGGCCAAGCGGCGCGGCTCCCCTGAGTCCGGTGGCCATGACGTCCTTCTCGTCGGCCCCTGCGGGCGGGGGGACGCGCAGGCTGACCATTTTCAACAGGATTCAGGTACGTCGACGTGCTCTTTCTTCCCGTTTAGCTGTCTGTCCTTCGAGTTTCTCTGGAGCCATTTACGGTCCTCCTGCCCTCATTTTAAGTGCTTTTTGTTAGCGTTGACAGCTCTAGCTTCACCAGTAACAGTACTTAGCACTTACACGGCACTTTACGCATCCAGAGCGTTCTGAAAGCATTAATTGATCCAATGCCAAAGGTTTAGAAATGATTTAAGGAGGTGAAGTCTTGGGATATTTAGTAATGCGACGCGTAGCCTTTCACCCGGCTTCTGGCTGGGCTTGTGCACAGGTGAAGCTGCGAATGCCTGAACGTTCAGCGAGCTCAGTGCCCGTGGAATGGGAACCGCTTTCTGGAGTGGAAATAATTAGCATCTCGTTATCCGTGGGAGGGCAGGGAGATGGAGAGTCTCAACCTAAATGAACTTCTCGCCTTTAGAGAGAATCTCTAGAGGTTGAAGTCAACATACGTTAAGCGAGGGTAGTCCTGGAAGCTTGTGTGGTCCTTTCTGATGCCTTTAAAAGGCTCTCTGTGCTCCAGGTGTTACTTCAGCGGTTGAGGTGAGAAATCCAGTGGCTTAGGGGAGTCTTAGATTTGCATTTCTGTAACTCCAGGAGATTTTGGGGGGACCCTGGATGATACATGGGACACGAGGGAATCCCCTTCCTGCCCCCGAGTGCCCGTTGGTGAGCTGGCAGTGCGGCGTTAGCAGAGATTTATGAGATTTGTTAACGAGCGTTGCTTTGCTGTGCAAGTGCATAGTGTTCTGTTCTTGGAGGAGACAGCTCAGATGTTCCGTTTCTTTTTTTCCAAAGACAAAATGACTGTATTTTAAAGCTTTGCTTGCAGGCAGGATAACATCTGCTTTGGATTATTGTTTCTTTACCTGCAGGGTGGAAATATCTACAGCCTCACTAACGCAGCGAAGGAAGAAAGCTTGTCAGCTGGGCAGTAAGTGGGCTGAAGTTTTGAGGGGACGGGGGTGTTGGTTCGCTGGAGTGAGTTCTGGCACCTCGTCGGGCATGTTTTCTTTATGAGATTGACTGTAGCCTTTTCATTTGGCTAATTAGTAGGTGTTGTAAGTTAGAACCACGCGATTTTAAACTTAATTTCAAACTCACCATTGTAAAAATCCTGCAGCAGCTGAAAGCGTTGGAGTGGTGAAACTGAAGGGGGGTGACTTGAGTGAAATGTTGAAGACTGTTAAGGATGTGAGAAGGAACAACTGGGCTTGTTCTTTTCACACGTCACATGGATAAAAGACCAAAAGTTCACTGTGGAAGTAAAGAAACAGAAATCTAGGGTAACCTTAAGGGATTTGCCTCTGCGAAGGGTTCTCAGGTGGCTGGCGGGGGTACGGGCATCACTCAGTCTCGGTGCTGGTGAGTAGTCTGCCTGTAAAGAGTATTATTGCATTATCATGGAAACAGGCCCTAAATTTAGGTTTAAAAAGTGGTAAGTTATTTTTTTAGAGGGAGGTTGTGACTCGGTTCTCTCTGCTGAAGAAAATGCACATACTTCCCTCTTCTTTGGTAATTGCCACTTCCCTTTGGTGCAGGGACTGCAGACTCGTGGTAGTTCCTCTGTAAGGAAATCGTGGCGCTGCCACCTTATTGCCCAACCTGTGTAGCTTGCCGTTTGCTAAAAGAAAAGCTGCTCCCTGGGGGGAAAAAAAAAAAATAAAATTTATTTTTAAAAATAATCTATGTCCTCCTGAGCAGCAATGAAGTTCCACACAGCCTTTCCTGCAGGGTTGCTAACCATCGCAGGTGAGGGAGCTGCTCTCTGTCATTAAAAAAAGAAGAATTTCATCGTTCTTGGGCAAAAAATGAAAGTTGTGGTTCCTGGTGAGCAAGGTGAAAATGATTACCTGGTCCGGCTGGCCTCGGTGGTCTTGCCGGGTTCTCCGTTTCTCTGTCAGAAGAGGTTCCAAGGATTAGCTGGGCTTATAGGAACGGTGAGGCATGCTTAGGTATGGTGCGCTGGGAAGCTTTTACTTCGTTCGCTTTCTTTGTCACGTGGATAGGGAAATCGCTCTGCAGGATTTCCCGACGTCACCTTTCCCAAACGCTGAATTCACAGGGGGGAGTTACCCACAAATGATACATTTTTCCGTTTGTGAAATTGGATCTTTCAGAAATTCCACAGTGTATGAAATGCATGGTGTTTTTAATGCCGGTCATTCTTTTTTTTTGGTGAAGCAGTTAAAAAGCGGTGTGTATAACTTTGCAAATAACATTTGTACGTATCTGCTAATAGGTACCATTCCCGTAACGGCTCGAAAGAGGAGGTATCTTAACCGCATCTCTTATTTAAAGCTGTATGTTCATAATGCTGGTGATTGGTGTCCCCCCGGGGATTTTTCTCTCGTTAACATCTTTTGCTGCTAAATGAACTGCGGAGATTTCCCAACTTGATGTGAAATGAGCTTTATGGCAAGAAATGCTCGTGTGGATCTAACATTGATAGCAACGAAATTCTATTTTTTTTTTCTTTAAAAAGTGATTCAACTTTATAATGTTAATTTTCCATCCCTTTCTCTCCATTTTTCACTTAGCAGCCAAAGCCGTGCCGCTCCTGCTGATGGCAGCAGCTGTGAAAGCAGCTTTCTCCGCAAGAACTGTGGGCAGCCGGTTTATACCGAGACTGGCCCGGAGAGCCACGGGTGTTTTCGTGGTGAACAATGGCATTTACCACAAAGGAAGGAGGAACAGCAGGTAAAGGGAAACGGAGTCCTTCAGCGCTTATTATTTAACCGGAATTTGAATTGAGGTCATGAGGATTCTTGAAAACCTACCTGTAGTGTACGGAGGGAAAAAGCTGTGGAGCAACTTAGCCTTTGTCCTGAAAATTCAGATGAGTGAAAAAGTGGGATCGAGGCTTGCGGCGCTGTTGCAGCCCTTTGAGTGGCTGTGACACAGTGCACGTTCTTGCATAGTACTATTTTGGAAGATGCTACTCTATTTCCAGCAGTGTTTCTTACTCTACCGCTGAGTGAAAAACGTAAGCCTGACTGTTCTAGTTGATAGCGTGAACTTGGGAGCTCAATTTTGTAAAAATAAGAATAAGGAATTGGTGCAATAAGGATTCCTGTTCTGGGCTCTCGCTAAATTATTCTCAAGAAACGTACTCGGCGTAGCAGCTCGTATTATCATCGTTATTTTATGTAATGGAGAAACAATTCAGAAGCGACCTGACAGAATGGTTTGCAGGGCGCTTAAACCTCCTCAGATGGGTGATGCCAGAAGCTACACCTCGTACCCTCCTTTGTGTTTGTGGTAAGGTGTGCGACGCAGGAGTCAAAAACACTCAGAAACTGTCGCTCGAGGCAGCGGGAGATGGAGACTGTCCCCCAAAACCCCAGATGCTTTTAAAGGACATCACAGCCGCTCCTCTGGTGATTCCTGTCTCGGTACCGATGACGGCTGTGCTCTGGCAAGCAGGGGATGAGGTGGGTGGCGATTGCGTTCCTTGAGTATTTTTGTGATTTAGCAATAACGCCTTAGTTAGGTGACTTTGCTGGAATCGCTTCTTTGAGCAACTGGTCACCAGTGTGAGTTTCACTGCCTTAGCCAGCAGCTTAGCGTTACGGCTCCCTTAAATCCCCCAAATTTTATTTAAATAACACTACAGTAATGGACTTGGTAAAGGTTCCAGGGTCTGTGTGAGTAATTTATTGGAAATATGTAACCCGTTAATCACCTCGAATCCAGGAAGATAAAAGTGGGAAGTATCAACAGTATGATGCAGGGCAGATACAAAGCCTAGGAAAATAGTTGGAATTTTACTAGGCGATTTAAAGAATTCCAAGACAATTTCAGAATTTACTTTTTTTTTTTTTCCCTTTCAGCACTCTCTCTGATTACAAAAAACCCCCCAAAACTTGCAGAGGGTTCTTGTCAATAGCTGCTCGTCTCGTGAGTGTGTCTGTTAGTGTCCCCAGAGCTGCCTGCACGAGTAGAGCAGAGGGTCCTCTAACTCTGCGCGTGAGTTCTGGAATTTGGTGTTCACTATTGAGCTCTCGGCTACGACACCAAGAGCCTAGAGGAAAACCGGATAACAATCTGATGCGATTTCAAGCTTTCTTCTCTGTGTTTTCAAGTGCCTTGAACTTGTTCCGTTTACTTTTCTGTGATAAACAGGGATTTGACAGTTGCTTTGGAATCGTTTGCCCAGGTTACTGAAAAGGAGAGCCCAGATGGGAAGGACCTCAAAGAAAACTTGCACCAAAAAAAGAGAGAGTGGCAAACGCGACCGAGATCCCTTTTTGTCGCACCTCCACTGGCCCCTGGAGGCCCGTTGGGGATGGGCGGCTGTTACCGGAGTAACCTGCGGTTACAAACATTCCGGGTGGATGATTTGCTGAGAGACTTGTTCCAGAACTCTCCTTACACTCCACCTCCCATGCTCAGCCCCATACGGGAAGGATCAGGCCTCTATTTCAGCACTCTCTGCGCTTCCTCTGCTCACGGTGATCCCAACCAGCTGTTCGGTGCTGTATTAGGTAATAAAATCCTCATGTCTGTGCTCAACGGACAGTAACGCTGGAAAGGAATCCAGCTGGTTGTCATACAGATGACAGAAAGAGAAAATTGACCTGTTAGGAAGGTGGACACCATTTTAACTTCTGTAGGATAAATGTCTGCATCCTATGCAGGCCAATGGAAATAGATGTTTACATGGAGCAGTTTGAATTACTCGTAAACCGATGACCTGATTTTATTCTACCTGTTTGTATACAAGTTTGTCTTAATCTAAGTATTAAAAAGCATGTAGCAGTTACATCGAAGCGATCCTGCAGGAGATGCTCTGATGGGCACCTGCCTGTTGGGAGCGGCAGCCCAGCGAGAGCGATTTTCCTCTGGGTTCGGCTTCTGCTCCAGGGTTTGACCTCTGGAGTTGTTCAGAGACCCCGGCCGAGTTTAAGGAGTTGTGCCTGCAAATGTGGGCAGCCGCTGGCTCTGCTTGCGCCTCTCAAAGAAGGCTTTAAAAAATGAAAGTATTTGACTTGGACTTTGCAATTCCTGTTGTGGAAGAGGGGATGTGAACGGCCTACCGGAGTTCTGCTCTGGTACTACCTTTTGCTTATTAAAAAAAAAAAAATAAGAAAAAAAAAATTACAGAACAGCTCAGTCCCTGCGTGGCTGACTTCTGACCCGTGGTCGGGTGTGGCTGTGAAATCGTACCGGGATGGTTTATCTCGAGCGATTTCACTGAAATGAGGGGAACTCCAAGAGAATAGTTCGTGGTTTGTAATGATGAGGATGTGAAGGAAGGTCAGTCTCAGCAGAATGATTTTTGTCTTGAGCCTTTTTTTTTTTTTTTTTCTTTCAGGCAGAATAGACAGGGACTTTGGATTTTGTGTGATGAAGGGTAGAACCAAAATCCACATTGAACCGTGAGTTATTGTGTCGTGATTAGAATAACAGTAAACATTTGGAAAAGGGGTGACGAGGGAACCATGGGTTAGGAGTCAGTGTGCGGTTGGTTCAAGCGCACGGGCTGTGTGGGCCTTTGAAGTCGCCACTGACCTTCTCCCTCCCGTGACCCTATCGCTTGGCCGATATCCTACCGTGAGACTAATCGGGGTTTTTGGCCAGACGATACCACATGCTGGCCAGAATGAAATTGCAACAAAATGCTCGGTGCTGTCGCAGTGAAATACTGACTTCATTTACCAGTTAGGCTGGCGTCGTAAGTAAAGATGCCTGCCTCCCTCACTCCGTGCCATGTTCAGACGTCCTTTTTCACCTCTGTGGTCACAACCTCTTTTTTTTTTTTTTCCCCCCTTTTTTTTTCTTTTTTTTTTTTTCCCCTGCTTGCTATTAGTGTTAAAGTGAACCTCACAAATTTGGTCCTGTTTTGAGGAAGGGAGAACAAACTTTTGTGATTGATTGGGGACAAAAGGATTCTGGGGGTAGCACGGTGCTGCGGTTTGTGCAAAGAAGTGACTGAAAGGGGTTAGAGCAGCGCTAGTAACACTTTGCTGGGAAAATGTCATGTGCGTACTGTATTTATTACAGCTGAGCCTTGCTCATCACATATCCCCTCTTTCTAAGTGTGCGTACGTCACCACGTGCTATCGTGATATATCTGTTCACAGCTTGCCTTCCTCACCTCCTCTTTCTCATTACTTTAGGCACATCAATGTCGGCAGTCAGTTTCAGGCAGAGATACCAGACCTCCAGGATCGATCACATCTGGAAAAGGAGGAAGAGAGGGCATTGTTGGTCTGGAAGCCCTGGGGAGATATCGAAACTAACCCGGAAACACAGGACAGAGGTTTCTGTAACACTTTCCTTCCGAGGCTGCCCCTGAGATAGTAGGATTAAAAAGAAAGGAAAAAAAAAAACCCAAAAAACCCCCATGTTTTTTCAGCAACGTTTTGTACGTTCAGATTCTCTCCCTGCTTTTCTTGACTACCTTTGCGCATGGCAGCATTAGAGCGAAGGAGATTGCTCGGTTCTGGTAGAACAGTGAACAAATAAGAACTATTACGCTCTCTGTAGCATTGCGTTTGTAGCTGTCCTACCTCATCTGCAGCAACCTTGGAAGAGGGGAGATTTGTCTCAGGAGTTATCGATCCCAAAGCTGTTCTTAAAGCAGAGACAGCGATACCTGGATGGTTCGGATGTCTGACTTCTGTTTTTGTTTTTTTCTTTCTTTTTTTTCCTATGCCTTTTCTTGGTCTCTCCAGTCCGTCTCTTGCTCTTGTTCTCTTTTCCCTCTGTCTTGTATCACGAATTTTCTCCTTTCCTGACAGAAACTGACTTTCTGTTGGTTTTCCTTGCACTTGTAGTAACAGAACTGCTCAACACCGCCTGCTCCAGTGCCATGCCAGGGGGAGGAACGAACATAGAGCTAGCCTTGCATTGTCTGCATGAAACAGAAGGCAATGTTGTGGTAAGAAGTGGCTCTTTGATCCTAGTTAATAACGGACTAGGACAGCCTTCGTTGCTGGTGGGAGCTGGGAGTTGTTCTGAGTTTTCTATTCCACAGACTGCAATCTGGTCTCTTTGCTAAACCCGCAGAGTACTTCTGTGCTGCCTGTGGCCACAGTCTGCCTTGATGTCTTTTGGAATTATATTCTATCAATAAGAGCTTGTAAATTAGGTGACACTTTGGAGAATAGAAGTTTGAAATGAAGGAATTGCCATGTTAGATAAAACTCAAGGTCTGCTCTAGATAAACGTCCTGTCCTTGATGATTGAACATCCCTCGGTGCCTCTTGCTGAGCAAAAGCCTCCAGCCTGGTCCGGGTTAAGCCCTGAGTGGTTCCGCTTTGCTCTGTCTTCTTTGAAGAAGGGATTTAACGATGCTCAAATATAGCAGAGAACTCAGCGTACGCTGTGTCTCCACGAGGAGGCTCTACCAGCACGTCTGCTGCGGCAGGGACGAGCCGAAAATGACTCCAGTGGAGAGAAATGTTCTCCTGGAGGTGGTGGCAGGTGGGGGGGTCCTGCGGTTTGGTCCCCCAAGGTCTCCTGAGGTTCTGTTTTCTGTAAAACACTTTGGTGTGGATTGAGGAAATATTGCTGTAAACTGGAGTGGGCTGAGGTGATCCCAAAGCGCTGTTGCCAAGCGTTGACCAGCACCAGCAAAATCTTCCTGCAGTGGACTGAATCGCTGAAGTGGCAAAATAGCTGAAAGCAAGAATTTACCTTTTTTGTTCCTGGTGGCGGGGAATCTAAAGTCTTTTTACGTTAAATCTGGCAGGAGGCTCTGAAGGTGCTTGTTGAGGGACCTCAGAAATCTGAATCCCATCCTCTGGCTGATTATCATTACACAGGTAAACTGAAAGGAGAGCTTGTTCCTTCACCTGCAGTGCTGCTAACAGATATTGCGGTTCCCTTTCTGTATTCTGATTTAAAGGATTTATTTTAAAAGAAATAAATGCGTGAACAACAATTTGTGTTCTTTCCGGCCGGGGAAAGGGGTAGCAAAACCCTTCAGTTTTAATCTGTTTACAGTGCTTTTTTTTTTTTTTTTTCTTCCCACATGGGGAATGCCTGGTTCTTGTGTTTCAGTTGAACGTGTGCTGCCCTGCAGTGACACCCACCGGGAGGAGCACGCTGGAGTGCGGCAGTGCCAAATACTCCTTGCCATACACTCTTCCTTTCAGTCCTGCTCGTGCAGGGCTTATCTGCTGGCAGGAATTATAACTCCTATTGCTAATGAGTTTGCTGCTGTCTTTGATAATTGCTTTCTGAAGGAGGAGAGATGTTGATATGTGAATAATAAGTTGTGATGATTTCAGTTAGGCTGCGAGCGATCTGATAATTTGCGCCTTGCTCTTTATTACTAGGTTCAGATATTTGGACACCTCTGGAGGAGGAGTTGTTTGCAGAGGCTTTTCGTGTACACAAGAAGAATTTTCACCTGATCCAGAAGAAGGTAAAGCCGTTAGACTGAGGGCTGTTGGTGTTGACAGTTTTAACCCAGAAAGTCATATTTTTGAATCGTGTGTAGGAAATCCTGTTCTTTGAAACCTCGTGTTTGCTGCTTAATGCTAAAAAGAGACACCGATACGAGACGTTATTTGCCTTGATGTATAATTACAACAGAATATTTAATATCTCTGGTACGAAATACCAGAGATATTAAAATAAAACCAAAACATTGTGCTGACCGCCAGCGCGAAGTGTACAGTTCTGCCCTTCTGGCACTTCTTTACAACCTTTTCAGAAGGGGAAGGTTTGTTTTCTGTCTGATCTCACCCGTATGTATGCTGAAGCTTCCGTGGCACTTCTGAGTGTGATAACCAGAGAGAATGGGGGAAAAGGAAGAACTGTGCTAATTGGATTGGTTATGTATCTATACCTTAAATATTTTCCTACAGTATTTCCATTATAGATTGCTTCTGTTTTTCTCACAATAGATTCAGACTAAGACTGTGTCCCAGTGTGTTGAATATTACTATATGTGGAAGAAGAAAAATAAATTTAAATGTCGTCAAGCTCGAGTAGAAAGAAGAAAAAAGGGCAAGAGACGCAAGGATGAGGTGGAAGAGAGTGAAGAACAGGTAGAAAAAGCGCTGGGGATTTGTTCCTCAAGGAAAAACATCTTCCAGTGCTCTGGGGAAGGTGCAGCAGGTGCTGCCCAGGGAGAGGTTCTGCTTTTATTCTGCTGATGCTTTGATAGAACTTACTCTGTAGAATAACTGTGAAACAACAAAGCAGTATTTCATAGTTAGCACCGTTACTAAAATGTGCTTTTACCTGTTATGGACAGTATTTGTTCTTAAGTGCTGGCACCCTTGCTGATGTAAATAAGAAAATTCCCAACTACTTACTAACATTAATAATGCTGTTGACATTAAACTTGATGCCGATGATTTTCAGGAATACTCTGTAACATCCCAGCGCTCCATAAAAGGAACTGCTGGTGACATGGCTCTGCGGGGCTGTTGCAAAAATGTTCCTTGCCAATAATCAGGAATTTGGTTCACACAAATAGTTGAGTTTTGGTTTTTTTGTCTGTGGTTTTGTTTTGTGTTCTTTTTTTTTTTTTTTTTTTCCTGTGGTAGAAACTGGCTAACCATATAACTTCAGTGCTTAGTAATTCTACAGCTTAAACCTGTTGTATAGACTTTGGTGGAGGAAAGTGCTATTCCACTTAGGGCAGTATAAAGAATATGGTTTTTCTTTCAGGGTCAGTGTTTTCACCCCATCCTAATAGTTGAATTAAAGCATTTTTTCGGCTATTTAGAGTTCATATGCGACAACGTATTTTTGTACTGGATGTAACGCATTCTAATTGCCTGGGCTATTCAGAGAGTTTTTATGCTAGTGTTTTTTTGCTTTTAGCTGTCTGCTTTTCTGAAGGGAAGGGAAAAATTAAGGAAGGCTTTCTGATTTACAGGCTGATCGCATCCCAAAGAAGAGACCCCGGCATCCAGCTAAGGAAAGCGTGAAGAGAAAGCGGAGAAAGCAGGAAAAGACACCCTGCAGCACATTCGGTCTATGTTGCAATCTCTGCAAGTCCCTGTACCACAATGGAAGTGCAGGGGATCAGGGTGTATTTCCATGCACAATGTGTGAAAGGTAGCTATTAATTTTTCTTCTCGAAACCCGCTGCTTTTGGCTAAAAGAGATTTAAGGTTTCAAAGCTGTCCAGGAGGCAGAGGGGAAGCGGAGCTGAGGGCAGCTTGAGGATTTCCCCTGCCCCTCAGCCTTTGTCCAGTTTTGTTTGACTTTCACCCCAAATATCTGTCTTGTTTAACCACCAACGTCCCACACGGCCAGGGGTACTGCCAGACTGAAGCAATGAAACTGTGTCATGCCACGCATCAAAATATACAGAAATTCCCACAAGTAGAAGTAATGAAGCTTGATTTAAGGGTGTTTGTCGAAATAACCTAAAAAAGGAATTAAAAAATAAAAATCCCTGTTTGTTTTCTAACTTCCAGTGTGTTTAACAAGATAAACCGTAGGAATGCTCATATGAAACGCCATCACCAGCAGGAGCAGGTGCCGCCTCTCCTGAAGTTTACATGGCCTGTGAAGCATTTTAAAAATGAGGCAAAGATGGAAGAAACCCAGATGGTGACATCCTCCACCGTTAATGGGGAAACTGTGATTCCAGAGTAGCAATGAGGTTAGTTGTCTCCGTTTTAGAGAAACACACCAATATTCTCTGGTATTGGAGCAGTGGCTGAGCTCCGAGAAGGGTCAGAGGACACGAAGTCAGCTTGTTCTTCAATCTGATCCATCAGGAGCACAGCAGCAGTTGCACCAATGCTTGGAAAAACCACCTCAGCTTTTCCTGCCGTGAAGCCACTCAGTGAAGCTGCCAGAGAATGTTTACTAAAGGTTTTTTGTAAAAAAAGTTGCAATGTTGTGTGTGTGGTCTGTTGTTTGTTTTTAAAAAAAACTTGTGTTTTCTCGGTGGTTAGTGCTAACTGTTGGCGTCGGGTTTGACAGAAAGAAATGCAAAGGCATGGGATGTTCCTTACCTGTATCGACACTGCTAAATGAAATATGCCTGCCTGGAAAATTAGCAGTTGTTAATGACTGCAAAATAGCTGGTGTACAAATACCAGAAGCTCTTGACTTCTGCTTTTGGTTAAAGAAGTCCTTTTGCCTCCATTTAAAACAACGGCTGGATGCCGTTTCTGCTATCGATTGTGGGGTTTGGTAGTGTTAGAAAGAGACAGAGTAGGGAAATCGGTGAGAAATTATCACTGCGTTTAATGCCTTGTTCCACCGTAAAGTGATAGTCATGCACAGCATTTCAGACCTCCAACACAGCACTCTTCTGATCTGAGCAAGGGGGTTTTGGTTGGTTTTTTTTAATGTGCTTTCTACTTAGCTTATTAAATTGGGTTCTCGAATAGCAGATGTAAAAGCTTTTGGGCTGCCCTCGCTGGTTATGCTATAAATAATTAAATAATTGGCACAAAGTTCGTTACGCTTGGTGGTGCGAACGCGGCCTGCTACACGTACATCAGTCTTGAAAGAACAGCCCGGGGCACGTGCTTCTGTGGACCAGATCCTTCGGTTGGTGGATCTTTATTCTTCACATTTTCTGAAAAGTTAAAGCTTGAGACCGCAGACGGGTGGAGTCGGGGGACTGCTCCAGGCTGGGCCTTGCCGTTGTGTCGAAGCTCCTTCCCTCTCTCTCCAGTCTGAACACAAAGGTTTCCTTCTTTTTGCGATTGCAGGAGGCCAAGGTACTGGTTTGTGTCGTGGGGAGCGGGAGCTGCCTGCCGTGTGTGGGGTTCCCCCGGCTGTTTTACTGCCGGAGAGAGCTCGGGCACTGCAGCCAGAGATGCGATGGGAGAATCGGGGCGGTTAAACGCGATGGATCCTGTTGCGAGTCGGCGTTAGCCTTTTGAAGTATTGAAAGCACCATACCCAGTGGTATATTATTGCACTGGTTTGTGTTTATTTGCATAACTAACGCTGCCTCCCTAAACTGGATTTGATAGTGAAAATTGAGGGTTTGATGAGTTCACCAATGAAATATAAATAAGGGGTCTTGTCCCCGCTGTTGTTGTGCTAGGGGGGATAAAAGGCTTTTTTTGTTGTTGCCAAGCCAGTGTTTTCATGGCGCTGTTTAATTTTTGCTTGGCTGAATATTGACATCCAGTACAAATAAATCTGCACTTCGGTTCCCTTTTTCCTTTAAAGGAGCAATCTTCAGGTCTGCACCTCAATAAACTCCTTTACCCAAAGCAGAAAGAGGCTTTGCAGCCTTTTATCCTTTTGCTTCTCATAACTTGCATTTTAAGAAATAAAAAAAGTCAAAGAATCTTTTTTTTTTTTTTCCAATCTAGCCCTTACGATTCCAAAGGGGAAACCATCTGCCCTCCGAAAACGAGGGCAGGCCTCTCAGTAATGTTCCTTAAAGTCGGCAGCAGCTGGGGAAGTGGCCGTGAGGACTGAACGTTTCAAGGGTTAACAGGAAAAAAGCTGCAAAGCTGGAAACAGAAGGCTGTTTCCTTTTAAAAAAAGACAAAACAAACCCAAAGCGGGATGTTGCAGCACTGAGTGTAACTAATCATATAGGTACCTTAAGGTACTGACCTCAGCTTTGTAACGAGTTGCTACAGTTGTAACTCATGCCCCAGAGGAGAGGCCAGAGGCGATGTCAAGTTTAAGCTGAGGTATTTTGTGGGTGTTTTCGGGCCCTTTGCTGCAGGCCATCCCAGCGCCCGCTGTCCCAGGGATAGCAGCTCCCCAGAGCCCCACCGACCTCTGGGCTACCCTCCTCTGCAGCTATCGGAAAACCACGCGCTGTGCTCGAGTGACGTGGTATTTGTGGGTGAATTAATAGTGTTGGCACACCCGTCTCTCGTACCCACGTGGGACAGCGGTGTCACCAGGCCTGTGTTTGTACTGGCGGCTCAGCACCACTCCAAACCTGTTCCGAACTCCCAGCTTCCCCACCGTCAGCATAGTTTGTGTGTGAGAAACACTCGGGCACGCGCTGGGCCTGAGTTTAGGGAGCTTGAGAATGCGCTCAGGGCTTTAGGCCTGGCTTAGGCTCTTGGGTGTGCGCCCTGGGTGGGTCTGATGTGGGTGGGGATGGGCAAGGTCTCAAGCAAATGCTTTGAGCCCCAGCAATAAAGCAGGCTCCGTGGTGGATGAGAAAGCGAGCGGTGAGAGGCGGCGCGTTCGCACCTCCTCCTAAGCTCTCTCTTCGCTGCCGGTGTTGCCAAAGCCGTTACAAAAACACGTGGGCAGGAGTTTGGAAAAATACTCGGTGTTGGTTGCTGCTGCCGTAGACGGGTAACTGCATCTGAAAGCCCCGTGGGTCAATTAAACACCGCTCCCCGTGCCCAAGTTAGTGCAGGTTTCTGTTCCGAGTCTCGTTACTCTTTCTCATCGATTCTAAAAAGTCAAAATTTTGATGCAAGAACAGAATTTGGTCCAGGTTCTCCGGCGCCAGGACGGCTCGCCGATGCTCCAGGGTGCTTTCGCTAGCGGCGAAGGCCTGGTCGG